GCCAGCTGAGTTCATATTTCGCACCATGCTGGTGCTGCCACCTGTAGGCTTACCACTTCAGTATGCCCACCCCTGCATCTGCGTCACTCACTCAGCGGCCTAGACTCAGACAACAAGTCCTACTCCTCTCTCTCGTGGGCATGACCCTCCCGGGCCATGGGCACATAGCACACTGCCTGTGTACCCCAGATACCGCAAATAAAGTAAGCCTCCGAAGACGTTTATCATTGAACCCCGCTCTGCAAGAATTATCAATTAACTGGTAAACATTGGTGGAAGTGGTGGTCGCAGCAAGTGTGTTTGCCCGGGGAGAGGAAGGGAGGGATGAAGTCATCTTACCATACCCCCGGCTGGGATTGAACCCGCGGTCATAGAGTCTCAAAACTCCAGCCCGTCACGTTAGCCACTAGACCAGCTAGCCACAATAAGATTCATCCAACTAGGTATATTTCTACACCATAGGAAGGTTAGCACAGGCACCACTGTGACCACAAATGCAAGTTTTTACAGACGAATCTCCAGCTAGCGTGGCCGTGACGAACTCTAGCTCAAGTCCCTTCACTGCCGTCTACAAACTTGCATTTGTGGTCATAGTGGTGCCTGTGCTAACCTTCCTATGGTGTAGAAATATACCTAGTTGGATGAATCTTATTGTGGCTAGCTGGTCTAGTGGCTAACGCGATGGGCTGGAGTTTTGAGACTCTATGACCGCGGGTTCAATCCTGGCTGGGGGTATGGTTTGTTTGCAATCGTGTCATTATGATTTCTTGAGTCGAAGTCATCTTCACTTCATCACCCTACACAAGAAGCATCCATCTCTCAACGAGTTATCGTGATGTCGTGTCGTGTCTGTTGGCCCGGTGGTCTGGTGGCTAAAGCTCCCGCTTCACACACGGAGGGCCCGGGTTCGATTCCCGGCGGGTGGAAACATTTGACACGTTTCCTTACACCTGTTGTCCTGTTCACCTAGCAGCAAATAGGTACCTGGGTGTTAGTCGACTGGTGTGGGTCGCATCCTGGGGGACAAGATTAAGGACCCCAATGGAAATAAGTTAGACAGTCCTCGATGACGCACTGACTTTCTTGGGTTATCCTGGGTGGCTAACCCTCCGGGGTTAAAAATCCGAACGAAATCTTATCTTATCTTCAGCATCCAGACACAGGTACAAGCAGGATCTAGCCGAAATTTACCGAATTTATTCGAGAATTGTAAGTGGCATCTCTGGGACTCCACGCCACAGCATCCCATGCTGTTTCTCAAGACACGTGTTCAGCATCACTTTGTATGCTCTGCTGTTGTTGTTCAGCTCAGCACAGCTATTTCAGCAAGTCAGAGGCGAGTTTGTGGTGATTTCTGCATCCAGTTTCAGTGTTCTTCTCGTGTCTGTGGGTGGGAGAGGAGGAAGTGGCCGTTCCTTGCCTCGCCCACACTCGCCCTGTTGTATACTCACACCTCACAAGCCTACCACCACACTCCACCACTATGTACTCACTCCCTCTGCTGTGTTTTCTGCTGTTTTCCATGTGAATTCATTGCCAGAGCTGTGTATCAGAGTGCCCGAGGCCACTCGAAGCTACGTGGATCACCAAGCCATGTAGATCAGCAAGCCACGCGGAGTGTCGACAATGTCACGTGGATCAGCAAGCCACGTGAGTTACCAAGCCAGACGTCCTAGGCCACATGCTGCGGTCTGCTGCCCGCATCACATTGATGTCACTGACGATGCTGCCCGACTTCACGACGTCACCCACGATGCTGCCCGACTTCATGACATCACGATGTCTACCTGACATTACCTCGAGACGTCTGCTGACGTCACCTCGTGACGTCACGCCTGACATCACATGATGTCACATTGAGTGTTCTAGTAATTATTTCAGTATTGTCGAGAAGATTGAGAGAAGATACAGTATATGTCATGTGTTAATTCCTCTCAGTCAGTGTTCTCACATGTTTGTGTATAGCTTAGTGTCAATTTTTGCACAGAAAAGCATCATTTGTTAGTAAGCCCTGTAGTACCACATATGCAGTGCGGGTGTGTGCAGTTTTCCGTGTGTCCTGTGTGGTCTTGAGCCCAGCTGTGTGTTGACCACAGGTCTGCGACCAGACCCCTGTGTAGCACCTCGTGTTACTTGTCGCCCGGTGTGACCCGCGCATTTGACAGCTGATATTAGTCAGCCCGTGCGTCCGAGCCTCTTGTACAGGAAGCTCTTATGCCCGTTGCTCGTGATGCCCTGCAGAATCGTACCCGCTATGATTCCCATCGAGATTTGTTTCACTTCACCTCCAGACCGTCAGAGTGCAGTTATATGTAAAGAAACAAGTCTGGAGACTCTTAGACTAACCTCTGCTATAACTCCAACTGCCGAGAGAATGACACTCGTCAAGCCGCAGTTAAGCCCTGTCGGCAGGCGCTGTGTCAGCCTCGTGTCATAGCTTCAGTGAGCAGCCTGCACAAAGATGATGTCACTTTGACTGCTAGCCCACTCACTGCAGTACAGTGTATGATGTTACGACTCTCAGATGTTTCACCGAGTCGTCTCTGCCACGACTCACCCCATGCTCACTGGCAGTGACAGCCCAGCGACAGTACCAGTTGAGAAATGTCCTCCTGAGTTGCTTGCCAGAAGAAGCCCTGCCCAGTTGCCAAGTACTGACGACGCCTCACTCGAGGGCACCAGCAGGTCGTGCCCCACGTTGAGTGAAACCCTGCAGCAACTCATACGATGACTGTTTCACCGTTCCAGAGGAGACCGTACCCTGTTACATCACAGCTCAGCCGCAGCAATGTCTCCTGTGTTGCAGTATCTGTCCAGATGCAGGAAGGCATGCAGTGATGCCTATCAACACTCACTGCCTATGACCACAATGTTTAAAAGCACACCCCACCTGTTTTTTCTTCCCTCCCTGTAGGAAGTTTTTTTTTTTTCCATGTCCATGTATGTATATATATATATATGTTTTTTATTTTGTGTTCTGTGCCCTGTTCCTACGAGAGAGAGACCAAGTTTTTTATAGCCAGTCGTGGTCGGGTCAACCATGTTGTAGGTGGCCGAGCAAATGTAGACAGCCTGTACTGTCTGCACAGACAGCCATGCTGTCTGCCAGCTGAGTTCATATTTCGTGCCATGCTGGTGCTGCCACCTATAGGCTTAACACTTCAGTATGCCCACCCCTGCATCTGCCTCACTCATTCAGCAGCCTAGACTCAGACAACAGGTCCTACTCCTCTCTCTCGTGAGCATGGCCCTCCCGGGCCATGGGCACATAACACACTGCCTGTGTACCCCAGATACCGCAAATAAAGTAAGAAGCCTCCAAAGAGACTGGCAATGAACTGGGAATATAACAGCAAGAAAAAAAATTGACTGGGCAACACAAGAAAAAAACTGCACTGGCTGAGGATACGTAGACGTTGAGTACCTTGTAGACACGTTGATGAGTCATGAACTGCTGTAGATGGCGTGGGGGCTGAACTGGGCTGGCTTAGGGGCTAAGCCAATGGGTCCCCACGTGGTTAAGCCGGGTAGAACTTCTTGGAGGAAACTGGGAGGAACACAACACACACGGACGGCAAGATGGACGCAGGAGCATAGCAGGGAAGGTAGTAGGAGGAGGTGGGTGTGTACTGGTGTAGTCTAGGGTATCAAACCCCAGAACTGCCTCGTGGTCACGCGTGGAGCCAAGCGAAGCAAACCCACTAAAAGAGTAAGGTGATGAGGATAACAAAAAATTTAGGTAGGAAAAGATTAAATATCAGATTGGAGGGAAGGTGTATGGGGGAAGTGAATGTATTCAGATATTTAGGAGTGGATGTATCAGCAGATGGGTCTATGAAAGACGAGGTGAATCATAGAATTGATGAGGGGAAAAAAGGGGGTGGTGTGTTGAGGCATATGTGGAGAAAAAGAATGTTATCCATTGAAACAAAAAGGGAAATGAATGAGAGTATAGTTATACCAACACTCTTATATTGGTGTAAAGCATAGGTGGTGAATGTTGCAACAAGACGAAGGCTGGAGGCAGTGGAGATATCATGTCTGAGGTCAATGTGTGGTATGAATATTATGCAGAAAATTCATAGTTTTGAGATTAGAAGGAGGTGCAGAGTTACTAAAAGTATTATCCAGAGGGCTGAGGAAGGGTTGTTGAGATGGTTTGGACATTTAGAGAGGATGAAACAAAATATAAATGTGGAAGGTGTATAAATCTGTAGTGGAGGGATGGATGGGATAAATGTCATCTTAGGAAAGATTGGAGGGAACGGTATGAACATCCAGCAAGTGTGTGCGTGTGTGTGTGTGTGTGTGTGTGTGTGTGTGTGTGTGTGTGTGTGTGTGTGTGTGTGTGTGTGTGTGTGTGTGTGTGTGTGTGTGTGTGTGTGTGTTAGTAGTGAGTCCAGGTAAGTGGCTTTTATGGATTGACGTGTTGTTGGTGTGGTGCATCAGGTAATACATAATTGTTAATCTTCTGTCGTGTTTTGTTTTATATTCTAATCCGTATTTTTTCATTATCTCTCTTCATCATCATTTACTATCTGTAATTCTTAATTTGACATTTTCAGTGACTATTCATATTTGCCAATATCAGCTGTAGTTCTTGAAATATCTAGGAGAGAACTCAGTGTAGAGAGTGGGGGATTTGAACCCATGGCAAGTTGGTCCCAAAATTAGCAGCCACTACATTATCCACCATATCAAGGTGGTCTAGTGAGGCCTGGCTTACCATGGATTTGAACCCCATTCTGTCCACTCAGTTGTTTACAATCATGTTATTATGATTCTGAGAGTTACTCACAATTGGGAGAGAAAGTAGTGGAAGAGGATTTCTTACTTTACTTCAAGTATAAAATTGTAATAAAATCCTTAGGGAAAGAGGTTGATCCCAAGAGCTGGAGCTCATTCCTTGCAAACACAAAATAGGCAAAACACTTTACACACTTGCCTAACCAAATTAACCTTCAATTTATCTCTTATTCTCCCTTAATTTTTTATTACAGCCAGCAAGAATAGTCAGCGGTATCATCCATTAGTTGTGTCACCAAGAGGCCGCTGTGTAAGTGGAGGGGAAGCATCATACTCCAGACTAGAGAACACAGGAACCACAAGTGGAGTGAGCACACCCAGCACTGTGCAGCCACCCTCATCCATACCTGTTAGTGGTAATGCTATATCCTCAGCTATAGCCATTTCTTCTCCTGTGACTGTACCTTCAACACCAACCAGCCTGTCAAGTGTTGTGGGTCCACTCTGGCCTTACGAGACTTCCGATGTGTTGTTCATTCCTCGTCAGAAGCTCCTCTTAGCAACGCTACATGGCCTGGAGGTGTGAAACTTGTACCTTTGTTACCCTTCAAACATTTTAAAGAACCAAGCTTTAATGAGACATGTGGATACAGGGAGACTGTGACTTATGAACACCTGAGTAACGACAATTTGCATTTACAAACTAGGTTCAAAAGACACAATATTTAGAAAATAATTGTGTTATGAATACCAGTTAGTTGTGACAAATATATGTAGCATATAATTATCATTTGTACTATTGTTTTCCTATAGGATAGTAGATCAGGGCTAGAAAAGACCCATTTGTAAGTTGATACATAGCGAACATTGTTTGTGGTCGGGGATCCCTGTACGTATTTATCTTTCAGTGTAGGATCATCACTTTGAATTTATTTTTGTTTAAATTATTATTTGAATTCATATTTATTATTTTCTGGCTTGTGTACTCATATTTATTACATACTAAGAATATTAATTAACATTAAGATGATTTTTTTTATTTCTATAGACTGCATATGAAAGTTACAGTGGATGGGTTTGTTTAGTAAAGTTATGAAAATACATCATCTTATATATTATAAGGAAAGCCCCTTGTTATGCTAAGCTTTTGTTTGGTTTCATTTTACACCATTTTCAGTACTAAGAGAAATTTGCATTGTGAGTTTTGTTAAATTTCTGTATTTAGCTCCATCATTTTTGTGATTAATTCAATTCTTCATCTGTATTTATTTATTGACCTTGGAAAAATCTTCAGTGACAGCTAGATACACCTTAATCAGATATTGCTTGCTTGAATTCACAGTGTTTGTTAATTGATTGAGAAAATTGCAGTGTATATTTTTAAAGACTTTTAGTTAAGATTTTAATTGCATGGAAAAGGGTAAGGTACCTAGGCATTGGCAGAGAGCATGCATAGTTCCTTTGTATAAAGGCAAAGGGGTTAAAAGAGAGTGTAAGAATTATAGGGGGAATAAGCCTGTTGAGTATACCTGGTAAGGTGTATGATGGAGTTATTATTGAAAGAATTAAGCAAAACAGAAAACAGGATCATAGACGAACAAGAGGCCTTAGGAAGGGTAGGGGGGGTGTTGACCAAGTGTTTACAGTGAAGCATATAAGTGAACAGTATTTAGATAAAGGTAAAGAAGTATTTGTTGCATTTATGGATTTTTGGGTTTTTCTTTCTTTTTTGGGTCACCCTGCCTTGGTGAGAAATGGCTGACATGTCAAAAAAATATACAGTGGACCCCCAGTTCGTGATGCTATCGGTATCCGATAAATCCGGTAGCCGATGCATTATACATATCGCCAAAAATTTGCCTCTGTTCCCGTTACAAAACCCAGTATGCGATGTGATTCGTACGAGACGTGTCCACATGTGGCCTGAACTGCCCCGTGTGTGCCAGTATTTACAAGCCAGCAAGTGTGTGCGCATCTAAGGATACATTCGGTACATTCCATATTATCCATATTATCACTGTTTTTGGCGCTTGTTTCTGCAAAATAAGTCACCATGGGCCCCAAGAAAGCTTCTAGTGCCAACCCTGTGGTAAAAAGGGTGAGAATTAGTATGGAAATTAAGAAAGATTTTGAAGAGTTTGGGGCTAACCCTAGAAGGCGGGGCCAGTTGTGGAATCCATTGTGCTTACTTCAAAGATTAAGGAAATGTGTGCAAAGTGGGTTGAACTGCAAACCTTTATGGATGAAAATCGCCCTAACACAGCTATTGCAAGCCGTGCTGGTGACTATTACAATGACAATGTTGTGGCCCATTTTAGACAAATCTTAAAGGAATGGGAGGTACAGAGCTCTATGGACGGATATGTTGTGCGACAGAAGTCCAGTGACTCTCAAGCTGGTCCTAGTGGCATTAAAAGAAGAAGGGAAGTAACCCCAGAAAAGGACTTGCTACCTCAAGTCCTAATGGAGGGGGATTTCCCTTCTACACAATAGGTTCAACACTCTCCCCTCCTCCCATCCCATCAATCATCACTAGATCTTCATTAAAGGTTATTGTCAATTATTCTATTGTTATTATTCTATTGTTATTGTTGTTATTGTAATTATTCTATTGCATTAAACTTAATATTTCATGTGGTAAAAGTTTTTTTTTTCATACTTTTGGGTGTCTTGCACGGATTAATTTGATTTCCATTATTTCTTATGGGAAAAATTGATTCGCTTTCCGATAATTTTGGTTTACGATGAGCTCTCAGGAACGGATTAATATCACAAACCGGGGATCCACTGTATATGATAGGGTGAATAGCGGGGCAATGTGACATATGTGGCAAGTGTATGGAATTGGTGATAGGTTACTGAAAACAGTTAAGAGTTTTTCCGAGGATAGTGAGGCTCAGGTTAGGATATGTAGGACAGAGGGATATTATTTTCCAATAAAAGTAGGCCTTACACCGGGATGTGTGATGACACCATGGTTGTTTAATATATTTATAGATGGTGTTGTAAGAGAAGTGAAGGCAGAGATGTTGGGGAAAGGTGTGGGATTGCAAGATGAAGAATCTAACACAAAGTAAGAGTTGTCACAGTTGCTTTTTACTGATGACACTGTGCTTTCGGGGAGATTCTGAGGAGAAATTACAAAGGTTGGTGGACGAATTTGGGAGGGAATGTAACAGAAGGAAATTAAAAGTGAACATAGGAAAGAGCAAGGTAATAAGGGTAACAAAAATTTTAGTTAAAGAATGATTGGATATCTGATTGGAAGTAAGGAGTATGGAGGAAGTGAATATGTTCAGATATTTGGGAGTGAACTTGTCAGCAGATGGGTCTGTGAAAGACAAGGTGAACCACAGAAATGATGAGGGTGAAAAAGGTGAGTAGTGCACTGGCGAATCTGTGTAGACAGAATATTATCCGTGGAAGTAAAAAGGGGAATGTACGAGAGTATAGTGGTACCAACACTCTTATGTGGGTGTGAGGCATGGGTTGTGAATGCTGCAGCAAGAAGGCTGGAGGCAGTGGAGATGTCATGTCTGAGGGCAATGTGTGGTGTCAGTATTATGAAGAGAATTTGTAGTTCTTAGATTAGAAGGAGGGGCTGGGTTACTAAAAGTATTATCCAAAGGGCAGAGGAAGGGTTGTTGAGGTGGTTCAGACATTTAGAGAAGATTAAACAAAATAGGAAGACTTGTAGGGTGTATAAATCTGTAGTGGAAGGAAGGTGGGGTAGGGGTCATCCTAGGAAAGGTTGGAGGGAGAGAGTAAAGGTTTTGTGTGTAAGGGGCTTAGACATGCAGCAAGTGTGCATGAGCATGTTAGGTAGGAGCAAGTGGAGGCAAATGTTTTTTATAGCCTGATGTGCTGTTAGAGTGTAAGCAAAGTAACATTTATGAAAGGAGTCAGGGAAGCCAGTTAGCCGTAATTGAGCCCTGGAGGTGAGAAGGAGGGGTGGAGAAATTCATAGTTTTGTACTGTAGTGTCAGTGCCCCTCTAGCAAAACAATGGTAGAGTGAATAATGATGAAAGTGTTTCTTGTTTTTTGGGTCACCCTGCCTTGGTGGGAGATGGCCAGTTTGTTGAAAAAAAAAAAGTTAAATTTTTTTACAGTGGGGGAAATAATTTTTTTTATTTTCAGCTTGTTATTTACACTTACAATTGGACTAAAGAACAGTGTGACAATCTTCACTCAGCTATGACACGTTTGGGTCACTGGTCAACTGCTGGTAATTCCCTGCTGTCAACTATAGTCTTGCAGAAGATGGGACTCTTCCACAACCAACCATTTGTGCGCAAGACCTCACTTAAAAAAGAAGAGGTTTGCTTATACTAGTAATTGTTCTTAATATCTGGACGAAGAACTAGCTGATCTGTTGTAGATGTTTGTAGTACCAGTTGATGATCTGTTGTAGTTGTTTGTAGTACCAGCTGATGCTCTGTTGTAGATGCTTGTAGTACCAATTGATGATCCTCTCTTAGTGTTAAGATGGAGTAGCAGCTGGTGATCCTCTCTCACTGTTAAGATGCAGGACCAACTGGTGATCCTTTCTTAGTATTAACATACAGGGCCAGCTGTTGATTCTCTTATGTGGTACCAGCTGGTGACCTGCTATACATGTGAAAATCTATCACAATACAAGTTGATGATACATTTTACAACTTCTATGATAACTAAGACTAGCCTCTGTATCTTAATATAATAGTCTACTACCACTTATTCACTTGATTTTTCATATTTCCTACATGTGATCTTAAAGTGCCATCATTTTTTTTTTATATATTTCCAGGATAACAATCCTTACATGGGAAGTCCTGCATATGTCCATGGATTAATAAAATTTCAAGCTCCAGGAAGAGATTTACCAATGAACCCAGAGCGAGGCAACAGAAGGGCTCAGGTGTGTGTGTGTGTGTTCTTGTAGTGGTGACAGTTATGTCAACAAAGACATAAGTATGGAAGACAAGCCTTCTTAGGGCAAAATATTACCCTCTTAAAGACTTGTTTTGCATACTTTTGTCACTGTTCATACTTCTCTTTTTGTCAAATGATGTAATTCGTACTTTTTTATGCTGTAAAACAGTTAGCTTTAGCATATATTAACCCTCTGAGTGGATTTCATGTAGATCTACATTATTCATCCTAGGGTCCCTTATGTAGATCTGTGTTGTTGATATCAGGGCCCCTCATGTAGATCTATGTTATTGATGCCAGAGCCTCATGTAGATTTGCATTATTGATGCCAGGGTTCCCTCACATAGATCTACATTATTGATGCCAGGGGCCCCTCACACATATCTACGTTATTGATGCCAAGGTTCCTCGTGTAGATCTACATTATTGATGCCAGGGTCCCTCATGTAGATCTACATTATTGATGCCAGGGTCCCTCGTATAGACCTACATTATTGATGCCAGGGTCCCTCATGTAGATCTACATTATTGATGCCAGGGTCCCTCATGTAGATCTATATTATTGATGCCAGGGCCCCTCATGTAGATCTGCATTATTGATGCCAGGGTTCCCTCACATAGATCTACATTATTGATGCCAGGGGCCCCTCACACATATCTACATTATTGATGCCAGGGTTCCTCATGTAGGTCTCCATTATTGATGCCAAGGTTCCTCGTGTAGATCTACATTATTGATGCCAGAGTCCCTCATGTAGATCTACATTATTGATGCCAGGGTCCCTCATGTAGATCTACATTATTGATGCCAAGGTTACTCATGTTGATCTACATTATTGATGCTAGGGTCCCTCATGTAGATATACATTATTGATGCCAGGGTCCCTCATGTAGATTTACATTATTGATGCCAGGGTCCCTTATGTAGATTTACATTATTGATGCCAGGGTCCCTTATGTAGATCTAATTATTGATGCCAGGGTCCCTTATGTAGATTTACATTATTGATGCCAGGGTCCTTTTCGGATTGCGAAAAAGGAATATTACGGATTGGGAAAAAGATTTAGGAGTTCTGGTTAGCAGTAATCTGAAACCAAGACATAAGTGTTCGCAATAAAGCTAATAGAATCCTTGGCTTCATATCAAGAAGCATAAATAATAGGAGTCCTCAGGTTGTTCTTCAACTCTATACATCCTTGGTTAGGCCTCATTTAGATTATGCTGCACAGTTTTGGTCACCGTATTACAGAATGGATATAAATGCTCTGGAAAATGTACAAAGGAGGATGACAAAGTTGATCCCATGTATCAGAAACCTTCCCTATGAGGATAGACTAAGGGCCCTGAATCTGCACTCTCTAGAAAGACGTAGAATTAGGGGAGATATGATTGAGGTGTATAAATGGAAGACAGGAATAAATAAAGGGGATGTAAATAGTGTGCTGAAAATATCTAGCCTAGACAGGACTCGCAGCAATGGTTTTAAGTTGGAAAAATTCAGATTCAGGAAGGATATAGGAAAGTACTGGTTTGGTAATAGAGTTGTGGATGAGTGGAACAAACTCCCAAGTATAGTTATGGAGGCCAGAACATTGTGTAGCTTTAAAAATAGGTTGGATAAATACATGAGTGGATGTGGGTGGGTGTGAGTTGGACCTGATAGCTTGTGCTACCAGGTTGGTTGCCGTGTTCCTCCCTTAAGTCAATGTGACCTGACCTGACTAGGTTGGGTGCATTGGCTTAAGCCAGTAGGAGACTTGGACCTGCCTCACATGGGCCAGTAGGCCTTCTGCAATGTTCCTTCGTTCTTATGTTCTTATGCCAGGGTCCCTTATGTAGATTTACATTATTGATGCCAGGGTCCCTTATGTAGATCTACATTATTGATGCCAGGGCCCCTTATGTAGATCTACATTATTGATGCCAGGGTCCCTTATGTAGATTTACATTATTGATGCCAGGGTCCCTTATGTAGATCTACATTATTGATGCCAGGGTTCCTTATGTAGATTTACATTATTGATGCCAGGGTCCCTTATGTAGATCTACATTATTGATGCCAGGGCCCCTCATGTAGATCTACATTATTAATGCCAGGGCCTCTCATGTAGATCTACATTATTGATGCCAGGGCCCCTCATGTAGATCTACATTATTGATGCCAGGGCCCCTCATGTAGATCTACATTATTGATGCCAGGGCCTCTCATGTCGATCTACATTATTGATGCCAGGGTCCCTCATGTAGATCTACATTATTGATGCCAGGGCCCCTCATGTAGATCTACATTATTGATGCCAGGGCCCCTCATGTAGATCTACATTATTGATGCCAGGGTCCCTCATGTAGATCTACATTATTGATGTCAGGGTCCCTCATGTAGATCTACATTATTGATGCCAGGGTCACTCATGTAGATCTACATTATTGATGCCAGGGTCCCTCATGTAGATCTACATTATTGATGCCAGGGTCCCTCATGTAGATCTACATTATTGATGCCAGGGTCCCTCATGTAGATCTACATTATTGATGCCAGGGTCCCTCATGTAGATCTACATTATTGATGCCAGGGTCCCTCATGTAGATCTACATTATTGATGCCAGGGTCCCTCATGTAGATCTACATTATTGATGCCAGGGCCCCTCATGTCGATCTACATTATTGATGCCAGGGTCCCTCATGTAGATCTACATTATTGATGCCAGGGCCCCTCATGTAGATCTACATTATTGATGCCAGGGTCCCTCATGTAGATCTACATTATTGATGCCAGGGTCCCTCATGTAGATTACATTATTGATGCCGGGGTCCTCATGTAGATCTACATTATTGATGCCAGGGCCCCTCATGTAGATCTACATTATTGATGCCAGGGTCCCTCATGTAGATCTACATTATTGATGCCAGGGTCCCTCATGTCGATCTACATTATTGATGCCAGGGTCACTCATGTAGATCTACATTATTAATGCCAGGGCCTCTCATGTAGATCTACATTATTGATGCCAGGGTCCCTCATGTCGATCTACATTATTGATGCCAGGGTCCCTCATGTAGATCTACATTATTGATGCCAGGGTCCCTCATGTAGATCTACATTATTAATGCCAGGGCCTCTCATGTCGATCTACATTATTGATGCCAGGGTCCCTCATGTAGATCTACATTATTGATGCCAGGGTCCCTCATGTAGATCTACATTATTTATGCCAGGGCCCCTCATGTAGATCTACATTATTGATGCCAGGGTCCCTCATGTAGATCTGCATTATTGATGCCAGGGTCCCTCATGTAGATCTACATTATTGATGCCAGGGTCCCTCATGTAGATCTACATTATTGATGCCAGGGTCCCTCATGTAGATCTACATTATGATGCCAGGGTCCCTCATGTAGATCTACATTATTGATGCCAGGGTCCCTCTATGTAGATCTACATTATTGATGCCTGGGGTCCCTCATGTAGATCTACATTATTGATGCCAGGGTCCCTCATGTAGATCTACATTATTGATGCCAGGGTCCCTCATGTAGATCTACATTATTGATGCCAGGGTCCCTCATGTAGATCTACATTATTGATGCCAGGGTCCCTCATGTAGATCTACATTATTGATGCCAGGGCCCCTCATGTAGATCTACATTATTGATGCCAGGGTCCCTCATGTAGATCTACATTATTGATGCCAGGGCCCCTCATGTAGATCTACATTATTAATGCCAGGGCCCCTCATGTAGATCTACATTATTAATGCCAGGGCCCCTCATGTAGATCTACATTATTAATGCCAGGGCCCCTCATGTAGATCTACATTATTAATGCCAGGGCCCCTCATGTAGATATACATTATTGATGCCAGGGTCCCTCATGTAGATCTACATTATTGATGCCAGGGTCCCTCATGTAGATCTACATTATTGATGCCAGGGTCCCTCATGTAGATCTACATTATTGATGCCAGGGTCCCTCATGTAGATCTACATTATTGTTTGCCAGGGTCCCTCATGTAGATCTACATTATTGATGCCAGGGCCCCTCATGTAGATCTTACATTATTGATGCCAGGGTCCCTCATGTAGATCTACATTATTGATGCCAGGGCCCTCATGTAGATATACATTATTGATGCCAGGGTCCCTCTGTAGATCTACATTATTGATGCCAGGGCCCTCATGTAGATCTACATTATTGATGCCAGGGCCCCTCATGTAGATCTACATTATTGATGCCAGGGTCCCTCATGTAGATCTACATTATTGATGCCAGGGCCTCTCATGTCGATCTACATTATTGATGCCAGGGCCCCTCATGTTGATCTACATTATTGATGCCAGGGTCCCTCATGTAGATCTACATTATTGATGCCAGGGCCTCTCATGTCGATCTACTTTTATTGATGCCAGGGCCCTCATGTAGTCTACATTATGTGCCAGGGCCCCTCATGTAGATCTACATATTGATGCCAGGGCCCCTCATGTAGATCTACATTATTGATGCCAGGGCCCTCCATGTAGATCTACATTATTAAATGCCAGGGTCCCTCATGTAGATCTACATTATTGATGCCAGGGCCTCTCATGTCGATCTACATTATTGATGCCAGGCCCCTCATGTTGATCTACATTATTGATGCCAGGGTCCCTCATGTAGATCTACATTATTGATGCCAGGGCCCCTCATGTTGATCTACATTATTGATGCCTGGGTCCCTCATGTAGATCTACATTATTGATGCCAGGGTCCCTCATGTAGATCTACATTATTGATGCCAGGGCCTCTCATGTCGATCTACATTATTGATGCCAGGGTCCCTCATGTTGATCTACATTATTGATGCCAGGGCCTCTCATGTCGATCTACATTATTGATGCCAGGGCCCCTCATGTTGATCTACATTATTGATGCCAGGGCCTCTCATGTCGATCTACATTATTGATGCCAGGGCCCCTCATGTTGATCTACATTATTGATGCCAGGGCCTCTCATGTAGATATACATTTTGAGCACAGCTCTTTCACAAGGTGTGAGTGGTAAATATTGGCATAGATGTGAGAGAATGGGTACCTAGTGAATGTGCACAGTATAAAAAAAAAATTCTTCTCCACTCTGATCTTGTGTTTGGTTTAAAACAGCAGCTTTCAGATGTTCTCTAGGCTTACTTTTTTATGGTTTTATTGGCTGCTTCTTGGTACCATTTGATAGAATAGAAAATGTATTGTAAAGTAAAAGGACGCAAGTGCAACTAATATGACATTTTATTGTGGCATGAACCAAGAACCATCAACCAGTCAGCACAGGGGTTCACACTATACCCTGTGGAGGCTGCAACAAGATTAATGTAGGTGAAACAGCAAGAAACCTCGACACCCGCCTCAGTGAATACATGTAGGAATGATAACTTGAACAACGCCTGCATACAACACCGAAATTCTGCCAATCATCTCATGAAATTCAGGGACGCCTAATTAGTGATCAAAGAAACTAATTTCCGCAGACGCACTTGCAAATGCCTTGAATCTTCACTAATCGCTGTTTCTAATACAATTAAACAAAACAAAGGTAGCTTCACCATCTCTGAAGTCTTAGCAAGAATCCTCCTGAAAACAGTAAACTCTGCCATCACATAGTCTCTCCTGTTAATACTACACAAGCACATTACAGAGGATGAACACTGAAACAGGCTGCCTCTATCCAGCCTCCAATAGAAATATTTGTCTAGCCTATTTTTATGCTACCCAAGTAATAGCTTTTATATCCTTTTACTCATGTGCAAGTCAATTGTTCTGCCATATTGTATCACTACTACTGCTACCACTAGTAATACACCTCACTCTAAGCCTATATATACCCTCTGTGTCCATGTATTGTTTGTATCGGCTTGACAAAGTTCCCGGAGAGCAAAACATTGCCACAGTAAAATGTCACATTAGTTTCACTTGTGTCCTTTTACTTTACATATTGTCGGTAATTCTACCAACACATATAGAGAAAATGTATTACTGAAATCGTGATAATTTTGGTTGGTTTCAGGACTCGAAGTGGCTTGAAATTTGGCTCAATGTAATGGAAATATTCTATTTGTGCCAATTTTTCTGAGGACAAGTAAGGCCCTCTATACCCACCTCTATTTCATGGGTTTTTAATTGTTCTGATTCAATTATTGGGATATCATAATCCATGACTAATCATTCCTGGTATATTTTATCCAAGAAATGGGCAAATCTTATTTTTTTGTGAGATTATGAATTCAAAATGGAAAGTGAGTGTAATACAGGAGAGGCCTTAAGAAGTGATTTATGAACAGAGGAAATGTTTTCATGCATGGAATGTCTACATTGGCCACATTACTTCATTGTACTTTACTGAGTAGTTCTAATAGTTGAATGAGTGGTTTCTTCTGCTCAATTAATAGAACATAATGCATACTAGTGAAATAGATTAGAATTTTATTGATTGAAATAATGGAACTAGCTTAAAGTAGGACTCAAAGTAGGTATAATCGGCAGTGCATAAATTGCACCCAGACTGCTAACGTTGTGCCTGCATAATTTCTTAAGTTTTTCATCAAATTTTTTGTTTTTGGTGTCATTACTTTTAGAAAAAGATTTTCTTCCATTTCAAAAGAAAAAATATATTTTTTAATTGTGGACACGGAGAGCAATATTAATTTCAGGATATTGACAGCACAACTATAAAATCACTTCTTCAAACTTATAATTGTTTCAACTTCATTGTTTAAATTGTGGCCCGGTGGCCTGGTGGCTAAAGCTCCCGCTTCACACACGGAGGGCCCGGGTTCGATTCCCGGCGGGTGGAAACATTCGACATGTTACCTTACACCTGTTGTCCTGTTCACCTAGCAGCAAATAGGTACCTGGGTGTTAGTCGACTGGTGTGGGTCGCATCCTGGGGGACAAGATTAAGGACCACAATGGAAATAAGTTAGACAGTCCTCGATGACGCACTGACTTTCTTGGGTTATCCTGGGTGGCTAACCCTCCGGGGTTAAAAATCCGAACGAAATCTTATCTTATCTTAATTGTAATACTGTATTATTATATACTATATCAAAACTGTAATTCTTCTCTACCTAACTTATTAAAGCCACAAAGCTTGAACTAATAGAATATTCAATTAACTTGTATTCATTGTAACTCACCTAATGACCATATGTACAAATTACAGCAATGTATTGCCCTATTAATCTTAAGTTAGTCTTAAGTTTTCCCAAAATGCTTTGCATATTCACCCAATTGTTACACTCCTCTGTACAAACATGTATCATGCTAAAATGAAAGTATTATTATTATTATTTTTTTTTTTTTTTTTTCAACAAGTCGGCCGTCTCCCACCGAGGCAGGGTGACCCAAAAAAAGAAATAAAATCCCCAAAAAGAAAATACTTTCATCATCATTCAACACTTTCGCCACACTCACACATTATCACTGTTTTTGCAGAGGCGCTCAGAATACAACAGTTTAGAAGCATATACGTATAAAGATACACAACATATCCCTCCAAACTGCCAATATGCCAAAACCCCTCCTTTAAAGTGCAGGCATTGTACTTCCCATTTCCAGGACTCAAGTCCGACTATATGAAAATAGTAACCGGTTTCCCTGAATCCCTTCACTAAATATTACCCTGCTCACACTCCAACAGATCGTCAGGTCCCAAGTATCATTCGTCTCCATTCACTCCTATCTAACACGCTCGTGCACGCTTGCTGGAAGTCCAAGCCCTTCGCCCACAAAACCTCCTTTACCCCCTCTCTCCAATCCTTTCAAGGACGACCCCCTACCCCGCCTTCCTTCCCCTATAGATTTATATGCTTTCCATGTCATTCTGCTTTAATCCATTCTCTCTAAATGACCAAACCACCTCAACAACCCCTCTTCTGCCCTCTGACTAATGCTTTTATTAACTCCACACCTTCTCCTAATTTCCACAGTCCGAATTTTCTGCATAATATTTACACCACACATTGCCCTTAAACAGGACATCTCCACTGCCTCCAACCGTCTCCTCGCTGCTGCATTTACCACCCAAGCTTCACACCCATATAAGAGTGTTGGTACCACTATACAGTGGACCTCCAGTTAACGATATTTTTTCACTCCAGAAGTATGTTCAGGTGCCAGTACTGACCGAATTTGTTCCCAAAAGAAATATTGTGAAGTAGATTAGTCCATTTCAGACCCCCAAAGATACACGTTCAAACGCACTTACATAAATACACTTACATAATTGGTCACATTCGGAGGTAATCGTTATGCGGGGATCCACTGTACTTTCATACATTCCCTTCTTTGCCTCCATAGATAACGTTTTTTGACTCCACATATACCTCAACCCACCACTCACCTTTCTTCCCTCATCAGTTCTATGATTAACTTCATCCTTCATAAATCCATCCGCCGACACGTCAACTCCCAAGTATCTGAAAACATTCACTTCTTCCATACTCCTCCTCCCCAATTTGATATCCAATTTTTCTTTATCTAAATCATTTGATACCCTCATTATTATTATTATTATTATTAAAAGATTGTCATGCTCTTCAGATATTTTTCAATACAGATTATTCATATGGTCTTTCTTTCTACATGTTCCTTGATTATCCTCATCCACTTTCCTATTCTGAGTTACTCTTACTTTTATATCACTCCAGCCCTTGTACACTATTCATTTGCCCACATTTATATAAATTTCAAAAGTTTTTTGTTAATAATATAAGCAGTATTTAGTGCCTGCACTCAGGATGAGGGGTGTGGATGTTGTAGTTTGGAGGATCATCCAAACAGTAATGTCAGCAAACTTTTGGCAGAACAGCAACTGAATGAATGATGGTAAAAGTGTTTCCTTTTTTGTGGGGGAGGGGGGGGTCACCTGACCTTGGTAACAGATGACCAGTATATTAAAAAAACAATACTAAATATCTGACATTTATGGGCTCATAATGTTTTGCTTTAGGGTTTGTTGGCAGTACCCAGCCTAACTGACATCTATAGAGACAGCAGACTTCCAGGATCTCTTAAAATTTCTCAGTATGGAAGTATGAAGGATTTGGTACTACGCCATGGCAACCAGATGACTGATATGAGGCATCTCATTCTACAAAAAGGTATTTTCCCTTTGATCATTATTATTTTTATAGAGCATTCATTTGTATAATGTGAAGCAGTATATGAAGAAGGGGATTTCAACCATGGTGTATGTGAATAGCAGGCCCAGTGCTGAATTGTGAGAGGTATAACCAGTTGTAGAGTGCTAGGACACACTGGTGATCCCATGTACTCGCCTAATTGTGGTTGCAGGGGTTGAGTTACAGCTCCTGACCCTGAGGGATGGGAAATCTAGCCTTGTTAACCCTTAGGCTACCAATGACATGTAGTTCTGCTAACTGGGAAAATTCTAAGGTCTCCATAATGATCCTGATCAGTCTGGTTAGGCCTACATCAGAGAAAATGGGAATTGGACATAGGTGTAAGCAATATAAAAAAAAAAAGGTGTTGTAAACAGGGCACTGTGGGAGCCAGAAAACACTTTCTTCTTTAGTACTGTCAAACGATACATGGAAGTGATGTACTTTTAAGAACATATATACATAGGTCAGCTTCATACCTTCATGTCAGTAAGTACTACTACAGTTTTATTCACTCTTGTCTTATGCTTTGAAAATGAGAGAAAAAATTTTGGTAAGAAAATCTTATTTTTCAAAATCGCTTGCACCAAATTCACTCATATTTTAGACCCTGTGGCAGTTTAAGGGTTAAATCGGCAGATTTTTGTTCACACTTGTCTAGTGCTGGTAATCTAGCAGTTGCTGGAGCTTGCCTGAAATGCTCTGAATATCTATAGACTTTCTGCACACATGCAAGTGTCACCCATGTCTGTAATAAACATTGTATCATGTGAAAATTAACTTTGACTCTGATACCCATCAGTGGTATACCAGCAGTTGTTGCCTTTATAATATCTTTTATTGTGATGGTCATCGTTATCGTGTATGTACGGCTTCTTCTCACTTGCATACTCGTTTACCAACAACTCAGACTTACAACGGCCTCTCTGACCAGTATGCATACCTAAATAATATATATTACAGCTGATTTCCTCTAGTCTGTTTATTACAATATACAGTACACTACTGTATAAACATTTAAAAATATACTAAAAATGTTATAAATGGTGCAGAGGTGACATTAAAACAATATCAAAGATGACCGACACAAACCCACTACATTATAGTATGCTCCTTGTTTAGCAATGAATTCATTTACCGACGTGGTCTTAAGAACGGAACTCTGTCGTTAAAAGAGGAGAGGCTGTACATGTGTCTTCATTATATTTCTATTAGGCCTTATTTGCTAAAATTGTGTATAGCAAAGTGGCTCTTATAGGCTGCAGTATCTGAGTTTCTTTGTATTTTTTATACAATGTGTCTGAAATGCCTGATAACATATTTACACTACCATATATTAAATGCTTAGTACAGCTAGGCATAAAAAAAAGATATGAAAGTAAAATAAATACAGCCTCTTCTCACTTAGCGACGTACTTGTTTACCAACTGCTTGGACTTACGACCAGCTCTCCAACTGGTATGCATACCTAAATAATGTATATTAGAGCCGATTTCCTCTATTCTGTTTATTACAGTATGTGGTACACTACTGTAAAAACATTTAAAAATATACTAGAAACATTATAAATGGTGCAAAAGTGACATTAAAATATATCTAAAGATGGTTGACACAAACCCACTACCAGTATAGTGTGCACCTCGTTTAACAATCAATTCGCTTACCGACCTACTCTTAGGAGTGGAACTCTATCGTTAAGTGAGGAGAGGCTGTACACAGTACTGTAGGGCCCCACTTATATGGCAGGTTAGGTTCCAGGCTACCGCCGTAAAGCGGAAATCGCCGTAAAGTGGAACACCCGTTTTTCCACTTATAAATGCATATAAATACTAGATAACAAGTTTACACTAACATATATTACGTTAGCCATAGAACTAGGCATTAAAAACAATAAAAAAGTAAAATACACATATAGTACACTCATTACTTAGCTTAAAATATTTGTAGTGTTAATGTAGGGTAAGATGAGTAGTATTTATTGTAAGAAATCAGATGTGGTATGTATGGTAGCCAGCCGGGCTACCATACCAGGCCAACCCACCCACATGTAATATTCTGTGACATTTAAAGTGTCCCAGAGCAATAAAATGCATATACAGTTCACTTATTACTTACCTTAAAATATTCGTAGTCTTAACCCATAAACGGTCCAAATAGATCGACGTTCAAATCCGTAGTGCTCCAAAAGTAGATCTATGTTTTTTTTTACATATTTTCAAATACAACAAAAAAATGTAGATAGTTTTTTTACACATTTTCAAATATAAAAAAAAAAAGATGATGTACATTTTTTACATACTTTCAAATGTTGAAAAAAACGTATATATACGTTTGGACCGTTTAATAAGGGCTAATGTAGGGTCAGAGGTGAGTAAATGAGATAAAATGAATGAACAAGAGAGAGAGAGAGAGAGAGAAAAGAGAGAGAGAGAGAGAAAAGAGAAAAGAGAGAGAGAAAGAAAAGAGAGAGAGAGAGAAAAGAGAAGAGTAGAGTAGAAGAGAGGAGAGTAGAGGAGAGAGGACAGGCACGGAGTTATGTAAACAAACCAGGCAAACACATCTGGTTTGTGTACAAGTTATCTCCATGTTGATACAGTAGAATAAATAAAGAGGAACACTCCCATTCTTATGTAACACTATTTTTAGAAGAAATGACGCTCTGAGTGAAGGCATACGAAAGGAATATGTATCTACAGTTACCCCAAGTAATGTTATAGTACACACATTTTCTCTGATGATGGACCAGAGAAAATGTTATTCTTGCTGTCACTTGTAGAAGTTGTCTGGCTTCCACATCTAATATTTGTTAATTTATTCTACTGTGGGGTGTATTTATCATGTTTATATGCTACATATCATGTTTATTTTATAATTTTGAAAAAAAATCGTAGATGGATTAATGAAAATGTATATATTAACGTAATATATGACATTTAATGAGAGACTGATTATTATCGAGTACTGTATTATTATTATCATTATTAATATGGCATCCCGAGACATAAGACACTCTTACTGATTTTAATGTGTACCTGCATGCCAGCACAGTGTGTAAATTTATTTAGGTACAGGTATACATAAGCATAATTATCAGAGTACATATATAAAAAAATATGAAATAACTTTTAAAAACACTTGAAATTTTGGAAAGTTTCCAGACATAATGGAGAGACGTGGTGTTCACGCAGAATGTAAACAAACCAGGTGGGGCACGGTGACTGTATTAGAAAGTCAGGTGGGGCAGCCGTATAGCATGTTTTGGTCATAATTTGAAATGTCCATATTAGCGTAACACCATAAAGTGAAACGCTGTAAAGCAGGGTCCTACTGCATATGCAATGCTTACTTTAAAGTATGTTGCTAGTCACCCCTCCCTTACATAACTGTTGTGCAAAAATGGCAGAAAAATGGTAAAAACACAAAACATAGTGAATAATGGCTCAGTTAAAAACCAATAAAAATGTGGAACACCAAAAAGAGGTGCTGAATATGCAGGGCTCTTCTGTACATAATAAATTAGAAATTGAAGTCTTAATAACTAGCTTAGTGAGCAAAGTAAGTAGCAATGTCACATTAGACAACCATTGATCTCAGCTCTTACACACACCTAACCTGAACCAAGAATAAATGAAGTTTTGTAAACATCATGACAAGAGTTTTTGTTGGTAAAGAAATCTGAATATTTAGTTGATCAGCAAGTTTATTATGCGGTAAGTCTTTTTTTTTTTTTCAATGAACCAGCTGTATCCCAATAAGGCAGGGGGACCTAAAAAGAAAAACAAAAGTTTCTCTTTTTAAATTTAGTAATTTATACAGGAGAAAGGGTTACCAGCCCCTTGCTCTCGGCGTTTTAGTCGCCTCTTAAGACATGCATGGCTTACGGAGGAAGAATGATATGTTTTTGTTTGTTTTATTCCCCATCCATCATCAGTTGGCTAGCCTTACTTTCATACTTACACTAGGGAAGTAATTTCTTTTTCACATAAATAAAACTGATGTACCTGTAGATAACAGTTGTTCTTGTTGCAGAAACTCAACGTAAAGTGCTATTAAAGACCTTAGTGCAAACACATGGACACTCCAGTCCAGTCTTCAATGACAAGATTTTGGCTCTGTATAAGCAGAATGCACGCATTGTACACTTCTGCTACACTCCTCTTCTGTTTCTGCCAAGGTATGATATGGACTTGCTTTAACACATCGGCCATCTACCACCAAGGCAGGGTGACCCAAAAAAAAAAAAAAAAATTCTTCTTTTATATTTAGTAATTTATACAGGAGATGGGGTGACTGGCACCTTGCTCATGGTATTTTAGTCACCTGTTATAACATGTATGGTTTACGGAGGAAGGATCCTCCTCTACTTATCCGTGGATACTATATAATATCAAATACCATCATGATAAAAAATGCCGTATCCCACCAAGGCGGGGTGGCCCAAAAAGAAAAACAAAAGTTTCTCCTTTTAAATTTAGTAATTTATACAGGAGAAGGGGTTACTAGCCCCTTGCTCCCGGCATTTTAGTCACCTCTCAAACACACATGGCTTACGGAGGAAGAATTCTGCTCCACTTCCCCATGGAGATAAGAGGAAATAAACAAGAATAAGAACTAGAAAGAAAATAGAAGAAAACCCAGAGGGGTGTGTGTATATATGTTTGACACAGTTACTTTTTGCTGATGATACTGTGCTTATTGGAGATTCTAAAGAAAAATTGCAAAGGTTAGTGGATGAGTTTGAGAATGTGTGTAAAGGTAGAAGGTTGAAAGTGAACATAGAAAAGAGTAAGGTGATGAGGGTATCAAATGATTTAGATAAAGAAAAATTGGATATCAAATTGGGGAGGAGGAGTATGGAAGAAGTGAATGTTTTCAGATACTTGGGAGTTGACGTGTCGGCGGATGGATTTATGAAGGATGAGGTTAATCATAGAATTGATGGGGGAAGGAAGGTGAGTGGTGCGTTGAGGTATATGTGGAGTCAAAAAACGTTATCTATGGAGACAAAGAAGGGAATGTATGAAAGTATAGTAGTACCAACACTTTTATATGGATGTGGAGCTTGGGTGGTAAATGCAGCAGCGAGGAGACGGTTGGAGGCAGTGGAGATGTCCTGTCTAAGGGCAATGTGTGGTGTAAATATTATGCAGAAAATTCGGAGTGTGGAAATTAGGAGAAGGTGTGGAGTTAATGAAAGCATTAGTCAGAGGGCAGAAGAGGGGTTGTTGAGGTGGTTTGGTCATTTAGAGAGAATGGATCAAAGTAGAATGACATGGAAAGCATATAAATCTATAGGGGAAGGAAAGAGGGGTAGGGGTCGTCCTCGAAAGGGTTGGAAAGAGGGGGTAAAGGAGGTTTTGTGGGCGAGGGGCTTGGACTTCCAGCAAGCGTGCATGAGCGTGTTAGATAGGAGTGAATGGAGACGAATGATACTTGGGACCTGACGATCTGTTGGAGTGTGAGCAGGGTAATATTTAGTGAAGGGATTCAGGGAAACCGGTTATTTTCATATAGTCGGACTTGAGTCCTGGAAATGGGAAGTACAATGCCTGCACTTTAAAGGAGGGGTTTGGGATATTGGCAGTTTGGAGGGATATGTTGTGTATCTTTATACGTATATGCTTCTAAGCTGTTGTATTCTGAGCACCTCTGCAAAAGCAGTGATAATGTGTGAGTGTGGTGAAAGTGTTGAATGATGATGAAAGTATTTTCTTTTTGAGGATTTTCTTTCTTTTTTGGGTCACCCTGCCTCGGTGGGAGACGACCGACTTGTTGAAAAAAAAAAAAAAAAAAAAAAAAACATGTATGTGTAGTGTGACCTAAGTGTAAGTAGAAGTAGCAAGACGTACCCGAAATCTTGCATGTTCATGAGACAGAAAAAAGGACGCCAGCAATCCTACCATCATGTAAAACAATTACAGGCTTTCGTTTTACACTCACTTGGCAGGACGGTAGTACCTCCCTGGGTGGTTGCTGTCTACCAACCTACTACCTAGGGTCTGCAACATTTAATAACTAAAAATATTCTCTCCATCTTTCCAGTAATTCCATCATCCCATTTTACATCTATCTTTCATTTTTATCTGACAAGTCCATTTGCTTCCCTGGCTTTCTCTACTTATTCATCTCTCACAAAGCTATTTCTTATTCTCAACAAAATTTGATGATTAAAGACTCTCACATTCATTCATTAGCTCTCCTTTTGCACTCTCTCATCTTACCTCATTTTTTCTTTCCCTGTACTCTGCCTTCCATATGTAATCTTTGTCTCCCTTACCACCCTCTCTACTTCATCATTTCACCAATTATTCCTCTTCCCACACTTCTCCACCCTTTATAACCACAAACTACTCCTGCTCGCCCTAGCAGTGCATTCATAAATCTTCCCATATTATTGTGATTTATATATTTTTTTTTAATGCACCAGCTGTCTCCCACTGAGACAGGGTGACCCAAGAAGAAAAACAGAAATTTTTCTTATTACATGTAGTAATGTATACAGGAGAAGAGGTTACAAGCCCCTTGCTCCAGGCATTTTAGTCACCTCTTACAACACTCATGGCTTACAGAAGAAAGATTCTTTTCCACTTCCCCATGGAGATGAAAGGAACTTAGTAGAAACAAGAATTTAAGAAAATAGAATAAAACTCAGATTGGTGTGTATACATATACATGTTCAAGCTATTCTCAGATTGGTGTGTATACATATATGTACATGTTCAAGCATGTGTAGTGTGGCCTAAATGCAAGTAGAAGTAGCAAGATGTACCTGTTATTTTGTGTGTTTATGAGACAAAAAGAAAAGACACCAGCAATAATGCCATCATGTAAAACAATTCCAGTTTTTCATTTCACATGTATTTGGCAGGATGGTAGTACCTCCCTGGATGGGTGCTGTCTACCAACCTATCAAAAATTTATATTATTAGTATTCTTTCTTTCAACACACCGACTGTATCCCACCGAGGCGGGGTGGCCCAAAAGGAAAAAACGAAAGTTTCTCCTTTTACATTTAGTAATATATAGAGGAGAAGGGGTTACTAGCCCCTTGCTCCCGGCATTTTAGTCGCCTCTTACAACACGCATGACTTACGGAGGAAGAATTCTGTTCCACCTTCCCATAGAGATAAGAAGGAATAAACCAGAACAAGAACACTAGTAAGAAGATAAAAGAAAACCCAGAGGGATGTGTGTATATATATGCTTGTACATGCAAGTGTAGTGTGACCTAAGTGTAAGTAGAAGCAGCAAGACGTACCTGAAATCTTGCTTGTTTACAAGACAGAAAAAAGACACCAGCAATCTTACCATTGTGTAAAACAATTACAGGCTTCCATTTTACTCACTTGGCAGGACAGTAGTACCTCCCTGGGCAGTTGCTGTCTACCAATCTACTACCTACATATTATTTTATTATTATTACTATTCTTGAAAACAAATGGTATAAAATACCGACACAATGGAAATATAAACACATATGCAGTTTAATGTGATCCCACTGTGTGGGCGAAACGTTGTCAATAAAGGATCACATTGAACTGCATATGTGTTTATATTTCCATTATTACTATTCTTATTATTATTGATGTGAGGTGATGAAGCATAAGATTTTTTGGAGGTTCAGAATATGAAGAGAGAATTCTACATGAGGTTAATCACTTAAGAAAGGTAAGTTGTTATAGAGAACACAGCTGATGGACATGTGAGAAGGAGAAGCAAGCTCAAAATTATTATTTCAATACAGATATTAAATTTTCCATGGAAAAGTGGTGAAGAATTCTTCTTCCATAAGTCATGCATGTTGTAAAAAATGACTAAAATGCTGGGAGCAAGGGGCTACTAACCCCTTCTCCTGTATACATTACTAAATGTAAAAATAAGAAAACTTTACATTACTTCATCTTCGGATCACCCTGTCTCGGTGGGAGACGGCCAGTGTTTTAACAGTGGGAGACAGCCAGTGTTTTAACAGTGGGAGACGGCTGGTGTGTTATCAGTGGGAGATGGCTTGTGTGTTTAAAGAAATATTAATTTTTTTAATAATTTTTATACACATTAGCATTGAGTCAGCATTGGTGAGACAGAGGTCACTGGTGACATGGTCCACAATAGAACCATTCAGTACAGAGTTTTGAATTAATCTTAGTCTGCCCGAAATGCCTAGTCTTGCTAGGTGTGATAGTGGCCCTCTCTGCAATTAGTTTTATATAATATGTAACCCACACAATATCCTATAATATGTAAACCCTACATCATATTCTTTATAGAGAACAAACTTGATTTGATTTGCTTAGGTACCCTCGAGATACTGTCTTCTGGCGCCCTTACACAGTGCTGGCACCAATGGCTTGTCCAGCATGGCAAAGACTCGCAACAAGCTTTTTCTTGCTGAATAATCTAAACTGCACAACACATCCCCAATACTCCATTATTGGCAGTGTTGTACAACCCATAAGACAAAAATAACATGCACATAGGAGAGAGTAGCTTACAACAACATTTCAGTCCGACTTGGACCATTGACAAAGTCACATTAACAGAAAGGAGAGGAGGAGGCAGTAAATACATGGAGTCCCATAGACAGGGATGAGACAAGAGAGATAGTATGAAAGGAAGTAGAGAGGTGGTAGTAGTTGTAGTAGTAGTAATAGTACTGGAGTTAATCAAAGGCCAAGAAAGAGGAGCACTGGAGGAGAGCTAAGGGCCTGCAAGGGGTAGGAACAAAAACACTGAAGGGGAAGGGGGGGAGGAAGTAAAGGACCAAACACCCAAGGCAGAAGAAAGAAAACCCAAAGAAGAAAGAGAAAAAAAAGGAAAGGGGAAGAGGGAGAAGGAGAAAAAAGAATCAGGTTAAGTCATGGATGTTCTGGAGTTTGAAGCATTTTACAATGTAATGGGAAAGGAAGGCATCCATGGAGACAAAGCCAGGACCAAGATTCATACAAGGAAGGTTGTATATAAGGAGGATTCAACCAAAGGGCGACGAGTTGCTTTTGTGTATTGTTCCAGTCACGGTATTGTGCCTTTTTGTTCTTTTGACCCATACAAGCCCAGCACATAACTCTGGATTGTTACTACAGGTGGCGATGGCAAGTGGCAGCTGCTAGGGATCACAGCTTGGCTGATCCTAATTCACTCACTGATAAAACTGTCAACTTTGGCATGAAGACTCCTGAACCTGTAAGTTACTTCACTTTGACAAATACCTATTGTACTGTTGGTTAGGTCATCCTGAGATTCATTTTACTTGTGTCATTATTCATGTCTCATACGTCATGAATGATTTTGAAAGAAGAAATGTTTTAGATAGATTTTACTCATGCCATTGTTCATGTCTCATATGTCATGAATATATTTGAAAGAAAAGTTTTAGACAGTGCATGGAGATGGGTGGTTTGTAATGGATGTGTTGTTGGAGGGTGTTGAGGGTGACTTTTATGAAGGGGGTTCAGGGAAATCAGGGATTAATTTGAATCATAATCTGATTAATCTGGAGGGTTAATCGGATTATGATTCCAGCACACTTCTGGAAAGACAAAGATTGAGTGAATATTGGTGGTTGTTTTTTCTTCTTTGGGTCACACTGCCTTAACAGGAGATGATGAGATGACTGTTAAGTTGAAAATAATAATATCATCATTATTATGACTATTATTATTATTCTTGTTATTATTATTTTCAACAAACCGGTCATATCCCATTGAAACAGGGTGACCCAAAAAGAAAAATGAAAGTTCTCAGTAGAGAACCTCGTTGTAGACTTAAAAGTCCTCTTTTATCTCTCTCTCTCAAGTAGTCCTGTGCAACAGTCATATGTTTATATCAGATTATTCTGCAGCGTTCTCGTCATGATTCTGGCAGTTCTACAAAAGGTGTCAGTGCTAGTGGCCCTACTGATCTTCGGCGCTCACTGTCACTCAAGTCTAACCTGCCCAGCCCTATTCAACGTCGGCGCCACGTGACAGGTGGAGACGAGAAGTGGCACGACGCACTCTGCTCTAACTACCTTAAGGAATATATCCAGTATTTGCAGAGCTTAGGGTTTCTTACACTAAATGTGACATGCGCACCCCAGCAACATGGGTGAGTACTTGCAGCTTCATTAATAAGTCAGACCTCTGAGTCTGTATAGATTTTGTAAATGGGGCCTCTTTATAACATTAATAATAATGACAATAATAATAATTCTATGTTAAGTGATAATAAGGTTTAAGGATAACAATAATAATATTTCTATTTATGTTACATGATCATAAGGTTTAAGGATAATAATAATGATGATTTTATTAATACTGTACAGTATATAGTATTATAGTTTAACCCTTTCAGGGTCGAGAGGCCCTCTCCTAAACTCGTTCTCAGGGTCGAAAATTTTTCGAAAAAAAAAAATTATTTTTTATTTTGCCCTTTTTGAGCCCTATTTTAAGCCAATTCCAATGCACCAGTCGACAAAAATCATAATTATTTCGTTAGAACTCCATTTATTCTATCGAATGAGTACAAGAAGCCAGTCAGTTACTGATTTCAACTACCCAATAAAGTGGTCAGAAATTGGCAATTTTGCCAATTTCACACAAATTTCAAAAGATACCAATTTCAAAATAGGGTCCAGAATAAGCAAGACAGACATTCCTGGCACTAAAATAACATTTTCTCAGTTCATTAGTCACATCCCCAGACCCCCCCTTACTTTTCTTTTGCTTTCCACTTTGAACTTTTATTCTCACAAAAAATAGAAGATTTACTCTTATGCAAACTACTGCATTAATGTAAAAATGGTATAAATAATATCAGCACACTTGTGAAAGAATATTAGACTCGCCAGTTGACGTGTATTGGATGCATGGCATGATTTGTTTACTTTTGAACATTTTATTTTTTTTATTTATTTATTTATTTATTTATTTATTAATTTGAACATGATACAGAGAAGTACAAAAGAATACAGTTAAATGCAGCATGCCAAAGCCCCTTGTATGCAGAGCATTATGGGCAGGCTTAAAATTAACTTAAGATTAACTAAGCAATGATATATTCAGTGGTACAAAAATTATTGTAAACAGATAACAATTTAGTACAGATGAGTATTACAAAGACAGGTCATATGGTCATTTACTGTGTTGCTGTGTAATCACTAGAATGGAGTATTCTGTTAGGTAATGAAGTTAATTAGTAACAAAGTTTGATTGGGTCACAGGTTGACATTTATGAGATACAATAATGAGATACATATATGAGATACAATTATTCAGTATTTATTTAGTTGTGGGTGAGTAAGTGATTTTTGAGAAGAGACTTGAATTTATAAACAGACAGTGTTTCTTTTATATTCACAGGTAATGAATTCCAGATTTTAGGGCCTTTTATGTGCATTGAGTTTTTGCATAGCGTGAGATGGACACGAGGAACATCAAAGAGTGATCTGTGTCTTGTGTTATGGTCATGTGTTCTGTTGAGGTTGGTAAGGAGATGTTTGAGGGGAGTGTTTATGTCAGAGTTAAGTGTTTTATGTATGTAGTAGGTGCAGTAATAAGTATGGATGTTTTGTAATGTGAGTAGGTGTAGAGTTTTGAATATTGGTGAAGTGTGCTGTCTGTAGTGGGAATTTTTTTATCATTCTGACTGCAGCCTTTTGTTGGGTGATTAGTGGTCTGAGATGGTTTATTGTTGTTGAGCCCCATGCACAAATTCTATAGGTGAGATAGGGGTAAATAAGTGAGTGATATAGGGCCAGGAGGGCTGACTGTCGAACATAGTACCGTATCTTCGATAGTATGCCTACGGTCTTGGAAATATTTTTGGAAATTTGTTGTATATGTGTTTGAAATTTGAGTCTATTATCAAGGTGGATTCCTAGGAATTTTCCCTCTGTGAGTTTTGTGATAGGTGATCCATTTATCATTATGTTAAGAGACACATCTGCAGCTCTGTTACCAAACTGAATGTAGTAGGTTTTGTCAATGTTTAGAGTAAGTTTGTTGGCCCTCATCCAGGTTGATATTTTCTGTAATTCGGTATTTACAATATTTGCTAGCATGACTGGGCTCGGGTGAGAGTAGACGTATGTAGTGTCATCTGCAAATAGTGTGGGTTTGAGTAGTTGCGATGCATTTGGTAGGTCATTTATGTATATGAGAACGAGAAGAGGGCCTAGGACACTTCCCTGTGGGACACCAACTGTAATTGGCTGTGCGGAAGAGTTTGCCCCATTTGTGTACACATATTGGCTTCTGTTGCTGAGGTATGGCTTTAGGTAGTTGAGGGAGTGCCCTCTTATACCATAGTGCGACAATTTTATGTGGACTCAAGAAATCGTAATGACACGATTGCAAACAAACCATACCCCCGGCCGGGATTGAACCCGCGTTAGCCACTAGACCAGCTAGCTGGTCTAGTGGCTAACGCGACGGGCTGGAGTTTTGAGACTCTATCACCACGGGTTCAATCCCGGCCGGGGGTATGGTTAATTTTATGTGGAGCAAGTCGTGGTCAGCTGTATCGAAAGCTTTACGTAAGTCAATGAAGATCCCCAGTGGGACTTCTTTTTTCTCTATTGCCGTATAAATATGTTCTAGCATGTGGATAATAGCATCATTAGTATTTTTATTAGGCCTGAACTCAATTTGACAGGGGTTGAGTATGTTGTGGGAGATATGGAAGGAATAGATATGCTTATGGATTAATTTTTCAAAGATTTTAGAGAGAGGGTTTAAGTTGGATATTGGCCTATAGTTATTCAAGTCTGTGTGGTCTCCTCCTTTATGGATTGCGGTGACCCTTGCTATTTTGAGAATTGTAGGAAAGGTAGAGGATTCAGTGGATTTGTTAAAGAGTGTTGCAATGATTGGTGATAGCACCTGTGACACTTTTTTGTATATAATGGGTGGTAAGGTATTTAAATCTCCTGTCTTGTTTTTTTAGTTTGTTGATAATAAGGGAGACTTCAGTTGGGTTAGTCGGAGCTAGGAACAGTGTGTTTGGGTAGTTGCCAGTGGGGTAGTCATTGGGTGGGGTATCTGAGCTTGGGATTTCATCAGCAAGGCTTTTTCCTATAGTGGAGAAGAAATCATTGAGTCTGTTTGCTGTTTCAGCAGGTGGGAATTGGGGTTCATCTGGTTTTGTTAATTTAATTTCACTATTTCGTGTTATCTTTTTGTTCCTAGTATTTCTGATAGAGTTTTCCAGGTCTTTTTTATGTCACCTCGTAAGTTGGATAATCTGTTCTCATAATACAATTTTTTAGCCCTTCTTATTAGGCTGGTTAGGATTGACGAGTAACATTTGTTTGGTCTCTGGTTATGTGGCCCATTCTGTACTGTTTTTCATATAGGTGCTTTGTATTTATGGATTTGAGGATACTGGGTGTTAGCCAGGGACTGTTCAGTCTCTTTGCAGTCATCTGTTTAGTTTTTTTAGGACAGTGCTTGTTATAGAGGTACTAGGTCTTTTTTAGAAAATTATTAATACATTCGTCAATATCTGTATAGATTTCTAGCTCAGTGTGCCAGTCAATGTTTGTTACTGCTGCTGTGAAATTATTAATGGCTGCCTCATTGTGAAGTCTGAAAGTGACTTTAGTAGTGTCTAGCTGTAATTTGCCAAGGTATGTGATAAGGAAGGTAGGGTAATGGTCTGTGGTATTATCTGTGATTATGCCTGATCTTAAGGGGGATATGGTGTTGGTCCAGATGTGGTCTAGTAGGGAAACACTAGTCTCTGTAACTCTTGTAGGTTTTGTTACTGTTGGTAGCAACATGCAGTTACTCATAGTGTTTGTGAATTCAGTAACATGTGGGTCTTGGTCTTGTAGGAGATTTATATTGAAGTCACCTGAGAGTAGTAAGTGATCTTCGTTCATGCGTGCATCAGTTATCATACTTCCTAGGTTGTCACTAAAATGGCTAATGTTTGACTGTGGTACTCTGTAGATGTTTATCACTGTGAGTGGTTTTTGTAGGTATTTGGATTTGAATTTAGCTATTATATATTCCCCATGTTCATCCCTTATGCAAGTATTAGTGATACATTCTAGTTTGTCTGAGTAGTATATAGCTGTGCCACCCCGTTGTTGATCTGGCCTACAGTTGTTTATGGCTGTGTAACCAGGAATGGCATAGACATCTGTAGTATCAGGCTTTAGCCAGGTTTCGGTGAGAGTAATGATGGACATACTGGCATGCAGAGAATTTAGTAATGCTATGAGGTCATCGTAATGTTTGCTTAAAGATCTGATATTGTAGTTAAAGACAGTTATGTTGTTGTTGGCTCTGAGAAGTGCCTTTGATTGTTCTGCTGTGTAGTAATTACAGTTACTGTTTGATTCATTTAAGCCATTAGATAAGAGGTTGGTATCAGGATCAATGCTAGTTATCATAAGATTTATAGTGAATCTATAGTTAGAATTAAGTATAAGACAAAGTAAATATTCTAAAGCTATAAAATAGCACCTGAATTATTTTAACAAATGTAAAAAATATGAGCTAAGGTAGCTCTTTAAAGCTAAAATAAATGAGGCAATATAAAAGGGACTAAAATAATTTGTGGTGAACAAAAAAGTGGTAATCAAATAAATAAATATAATGGCAAAATAATGAACTTATTACACTTTAGCACCTGAGAATAGCACTTTGATTATTTTAACAATTGTGAATATATGAACTAAGGTAGTTATTTAAAGCTAAAATAAAAGAGAAAAAAAATAAGGGACTAAATTAAGTAATGGTAAACAAAGTTAAAATGACAGATAGTCACTATGATATAATAAAAAAATTCTGCTTATTTGAGCTCAATTTCAAGGTACTTTTCATTGTGAAACCAATCAAAATCATCTCAATTTCTGTAATATGTCTTCCATTCTATAAAATGACACCAAGAAAATGAGAATACAACCATAAATACCATACGAAAATACACTGCAAAGTCACTGTTTTAAATAAAAAACACAGTCGGATTTTTGTTTTCTTATGCGCTGTGTGCTGCAGGATTTTTTTAATACTGTGCACACTGACCACACAGACCCATTCTTTCATGTGCAGGCCCACCAGCTTTCGCTAGATTTGAAGGTGCTAGAATTTACGCATACTAGTACGGCACCAACCCTGGCATGCAAGCTGTACTAGTATGACACCAACCCTGAAAGGGTTAATTATTTTTAGGAAGATATTGTACAGGTTTATTTATGGAAGAAGAAAAAAGAGAATGTAACAGAGTATAGTGGTAGCAGCACTTTCTATAAGAGAATGAAGCATAGGTTGTGAATGTTGTGGTGAGGAGGAGATGCATGTTTGAGAACAACTTATGGTGTGAACATTATACAGAGCATTCTGATTATGGAAGGTGAAAGACAGTTGGGGGTGACCAAGGGTATAATTCAGAGGGCTCAGGAGGAAGTGTGGGCATTTAGGGGGGATGAAGAGGAGTAGGATGTCAGTGTGTGTATATATTTGGGGTGGAAGATAGAGTTGGCTTTTATGAACGTGTTTTGGAGTGTGAGGAAGGTAACATTTATGAAAGGATTCAAGAAACAATTGAGTAAGCATAGTGCCTGCACTCTGAAGGAGTGTGAAGGATGTTGCATTTCAGAGGATCATCTGAACTATGTCAGCACACTTATGGCAAAAGAGTGGTTGAATGAATAATAGTGAAAAATAATCTAGTAGTTGCTGTTATTGAATTTTTATAGACTTAATATTCATTAAAAAATTTAATAAGAGGTCAATTATGTCCAATAACCAGGCGCAACATTGGGCGAGAGGCAGAAAGTCGAGGTTTCCGAGTGAAGGAAGTGCGATTTAGTGAGAAAGTCACTAAGGATCCCACTTATTTACTGAAGAATGTCTTGGGTGGTACAATTCTGTTGGAGATAAGCTTCTTAGAGCCTTACTTCTTTGCTAAGGTACGCAGTAATATGTATAGGGTTTTTAAATTCTTTCATATTTCAAGGGTTTGATTAATTTATGTAATCAAAATGTATATTTTAATATACAGTCAGCCTTCTCATGAAGCTCCTCTTTATAGTGCAATTTTTAAAAACTGTGATTGAAAAAGTGTATAATAAGTGGTATAGCATGCACTATGATAGCTTTTTATCTATGTGATATTCAATTTTGAATATACTTTTTCATAGCTTTTTGCAAAAAAGTTTCACTATACAGACAAGCTCTATAAAAGTGCTGGCGGTATTTGCTATGATGCAAAATAATGTTGTTTTATAATATTTAGTTTACATTTGTTACAAGATAATTATGTTAACTCTTTGAGGGTCCAGACCCCCAATCTGAAAATTCCCCACAGGCTCCAAGAATTTTTCAAAAAAAAATTTATTATTTTTCTCATGAAATGGTAGAGAATCTTTTTCTGAAGGTAATAAAACATAAAGTATGAAATCTGATCAAAAATTGACAAAATTACACTATCGCGAATTTTGCTGTGTCAGCTATATTCATGCATTGGCAATTTTTGCCCAATTTGAGTCCTATTTTTGGCCACTTTGAGTCCTATTTTTGGCCAATTACATTGTTTCATTAGACCAAATTCTTAACTATTTCAGTACCATGTGTTCCATTTTATCTATTGAGCACAAGAAATCACCCGATCAACTATTTCAACTACCCAATAAAGTGATCGGAAATTGATAATTTGGCCAATTTCACACAAAGTTCAAAATACTTCAGTTTCACAGTAGGGTCCAGAATAAACAGTGCAGCTATTCCTTGCTTGAAAATAACATTTCCTCTGTTTATTAGTTATGTTTCCAGGCTTTACAGATGAATTCCATTTTTATTTTTTGTTCACATAAAGAATTTTTATTCACACCGAAAAATAGATTTACTGTTATGCAATATTGTAATAATTGTATAAATAATATCAGTGAATTTATAAATGCACATTTGACTCGCCAGTTGATATGTATTGGATATGTGATGTGATTTGTTTACTCTCGAATCGGCAAAAATCGAATATTTCTGGTACATTGAGCTCAATTTCAAGCTACTTTCACTTCTAAAACCAATCAAAATCATCTTTATTTCTGTAATATGTCTTCCATTCTATCAAATGAAACCAAGAAACTGAGAATACAACTGTAAAAACCATACAGAAATACACCGCAAAGTCACTATTTTAATCTAAAACCATGGTCGCAGTTTTTTTCTCCCATTATGCACTGCGTGCTACAGGATTTGTTTTATATGGTACACACTTACCACATAGATGCATTCTCTTGTATCAAGGCCCAAATTTACCACTCACAGCTTATTTGAGTGAGCTGAGCTCATGATGTAGTACTATGGTTTATCCCCTGGCTCCAAAGCCGTAGAACTACGGGACAGACCCGCAAAGGGTTATTGCACCATGGAGAGTTAAATAGCTTTTACCTTTAAATTTAACATTACTTACTTCAACATGATTATAATTGTTTTTTCAACCAGTTTTCTGTTATTCACAAATTGTTAATGTTGGTTTGTCGTTACTCACAGTTTTCATTTTTGCAGATATATGTGTTAGAGTCATGTAGGCTGGAGGGAAAGAAGCTATCATCACAGGTAAAGTGGCAACTCATATTCCTGTTAAGTTGGTCCTGGCACTTACAATGTAAGCTTGAAAGAATCACAAATACTGAAAATCCTTCATATAAAAAGTACATTCTTTTCTTTCTTTCAACAAACTGGCCATATCCCACCGAGGCAGGGTGGTCCGAGAAGAAAAACAAAAGTTTCTCTTTTTTACTTTAGTAATGTATACAGAAGAAGGAATTACTAGCCTCTTGCTCCCGGCATTTTTGTCACCTCTTATGACACACATGGCTTACAGAGGAAGAATTCTGTTCCACTTCCCCATGGAGATAGAAAATAAACAAGAACAAGAACTAGTAAGAAAATAGAAAAACTCAGAAAGGTGTGTATATATATGCTTGTACATGCAAGTGTAGTGTGACCTAAGTTTAAGTAGAAGTAGCAAGAAGTACCTGAAATCTTGAATGTTTATGAGAGAGAAAGAAAACACCAGCAATCCTACCATCATGTAAAATAATTACAGGCTTTCATTTTACACTCACTTGGTAGGACAGTAGTACCTCCCTGGGCAGTTGCTATCTACCAACCTACTACCTAGGAAAACATGCATTAGACAAATATATATTTTTGGAAAAGTTTAATAAAAAGCAGTTTTGCAAAGCTCATATGTGTTATGCATGACTATTGTAGCAAATCTAAATAAAAAACTTGGAAATGTTTGCTTTGATCTTCTGGTACCATGTCCAAGTTGATACAGCCGTGTTCAAGTTGATACAGCCATATCCTAGTTGATACAGCCATGTTTGAGTTGATACAGCCATGTCCTAGCTGATATAGCCGTGTCCTAGTTGATATAGCTGTGTCCTGGTTGACACAGCCATGTCCGGGTTGATTCAACAGTGTCCAGGTTGATACAGCAGTGTCCAGATTGATACAGCAGTGTCCAAGTTAATACAGCAGTGTCCAAATTGATAAAGCAGTGTCCAGGTTGGTACAGCTGTGTCCAACTTAATACAGCAGTGTCCAACTTGATACAGAAGTTTGTCTCTTGTATTGTTCAGTTTGCCCAACCATGGTATTGCGACATTTATTCTTCCTGAATGTTAAATTATGAATGCAATTCACAATCTGTGGAGGGTCAGGTTCCTGGAGGTTCTGTGAATCCTGAAGTCTGTGGAGGGTCAGGTTCCTGGAGGTTCTCTGAATTCTGAAGTCTGTGGAGGGTCAGGTTTCTGGAGGTTCTGTGAATCCTGAAGTCTGTGAAGGGTCAGGTTTCTGAAGGGTCTGTGAATCCTGAAGTCTGTGGAGGGTCAGGTTCCTGAAGGTTCTGTAAATCCTGAAGTCTGTGGAGGGTCAGGTTCCTGGAGGTTCTGTAAATCCTGAAGTCTGTGGAGGGTCAGGTTCCTGGAAGTTCTGTAAATCCTGAAGTCTGTGGAGGGTCAGGTTCCTGGAAGTTCTGTAAATCCTGAAGTCTGTGGAGGGTCAGGTTCCTGGAGGTTCTGTAAATCCTGAAGTCTGTGGAGGGTCAGGTTCCTGGTGGTTCTGTAAATCCTGAAAGTCTGTGGAGGGTCAGGTTCCTGGAAGTTCTGTAAATCCTGAAGTCTGTGGAGGGTCAGGTTCCTGGTGGTTCTGTAAATCCTGAAAGTCTGTGGAGGGTCAGGTTCCTGGAAGTTCTGTAAATCCTGAAAGTCTGTGGAGGGTCAGGTTCCTGGAGGTTCTGTAAAAGTCTAATAATTTACAAGAGTACTAAATATTTTTGGGGGATCATTGATTCTCACTACTTTATTTATAATAACTAACCTGCATATCTATAGTAAATTATTTATATGCAAATTTGTAGCTGAATATTATATTAAATATTTTTGTCATGGCTGTATGTCTGGAGCAGCAGTAGCTGCTGCAATAGCAGCAACAGCAGTAGCAGTAATAGCAGCATCTGCAGTCACTGTCATCATGTTGCATAACCTCAAAGTCTTATTTTTCTTAAATTTACCTTACTCAGTCATAATATTCTGCTCACTGTATCTGAATTCTCATTTTGTGAAAACCAGTTCACTTTATTATCCTCATGTTTTGTCGTTACCTTTCACCTTGTTATCATGTTGTGTCATTACCGTTCATCTTACCTAGTTGTCTTTGATGACAATTTAGTTCCAATCCTTTCATAGTTTGTGATTATTTCAATAAGTAATTTGTTCACTTTTGTATCATTATAGTTTAGTAATTTAGCTATTTGTCTTATCGTATAGACCAAGGCATCATATGTGCTGGAACACATACAGTAGGGCCCTGCTTTATGGCACTTTGCTTTACAGTGGCAGCCTGGAACCTAACCTGCCATGTAAATGGTGCCCTCCTGTACCTGTGTTGTGGGAACCCCATATGTTACCCTTGGTCCACCAGGCATTGCTAATAGTGAAACAGTGTATTGATATGTATGCCATATTAAATTCTTCTCTACACTAGTTAGAAGAATTATCTGTTATGTCTTAAATTAGAAAATAGACCATTGAAAACAGTGTTTGCAAAAATGATGGTGACTGTGTTTTCTTCTTTGAGATAAAACAAATATTGATTGCTGCCTTAAAGGGTCTTTCAGCCATTTTTTCTGGAAAATGTGTGATGTGGTTATGGTATAATTTTATTAAAAAGATTGCAGCACAGAAGATGGAAAAAATATAATAAAAATAACAAACTCCTGTTTTTTCCTAGTGAGTGAGTGTGGAATTTTTTCATTGGTACTCTTACACATAGGGTAAATATTTTTGCACATGAATGTCGGTGATGGGGATACTATATTATTTGTATATGTTGGTTTAATCTGAAACTGTGCAAGGAATATAAAGACTACTATGTACATTATCTTGGAGGAAAAGAAACGATATAAAAAAAAAGATAAAAACAGTAAAAGTCTCCAAAACTAGAGTCAGGTGAAAAAAAAACATATATCACACATATCACACATACATTCACACATGCATGCACATGTGCACACATGCATGCACACACACACAAAATAACTTCCTAAAGTGTCAGCAAAATTAGTCCTTAATTTATGCTTATTTTCAAGTGTATTATAATGAGACATGAGCAGATACTATTGTGTTGTCCATGTATTATAGTTGTCACTAAAGTATATTGTATATCACAGCCTCATAGGGTATCATAAACGTAAGTTAGTGGGTAAAATTATGTCTGAATGAAAATGAAAAAGCACATAACCTCCAAATAGTGATTTTATTTTTTGTGGTACAGTATACAACAATTTATTGATTCACAGTACTACCAGTATCTGCATTTACTAAATAGCATTTTGTAGGTTATTTATTTCTGCATATACCTTAGGTAAGTTATACTAAACTTCAATGGTGAATTATGAAATTTTGGAGTGATAATTTTCATACCATTCTTTTTTTCCCTTTTCACATTGTATATTAACCACTCAAGAGTATTGTAGCAGCACAGTATTAGGAATTGTGTGGTATGAGTTTTGTGCTTGTCTCCTAATGTGTTTTTAAAAGGATACGAAGAAATGGCTACCTTATTTGGAAAATTTAAAATATAAAATCAAACCTCTTGTCCTGATTAAAATAAAATTTGATATATGTACAAGATAGCCCAATATCACTGACACACCTGGGAAATCCAAAATGGCAGACTGAAGTTTAAACTTAAAATAAACTAGTTATTAAAAAGGTCTATTACATAAATGTTCATGAGAATTTAATAAATATATGAGGAGTTAGAATAAATTAAAACAAAACTGTTGAACACTCTATATTCGTTGTCATTTCAGGTTTAAACACTACAGGTGCTCCATGACTTACAATGGGGTTACGTTCCAATGAACCCATCGTAAGCTCAAAATACAAATCAAATATGAATTTGATATAATAAATAAGTAAATAACTACTGTCACTGAGTAAATAAATAAACAAATAATTGCTGGAACTAAATACCAGTACTGAAAAGTAAATAAATGAATACGAGTTATGGACTTGCTGCCTTTGTGATGGGCAATATCTTAAGTTTCACCTCCTAAGTAATTGCCTGTGCACCATCATAAAGTTGAAATATCATAAATCGAACCATTGTAAGTGAAGGAGCATCTGTTTATTTTCTCTAAGTTCTTATTAATATCCCCTTAGTACAGACTTGTATATTAAGATATCTGTTATCTTTCAGGAAATGTTAATGAATCAGTATTTATTGTTGGAGGAAGAAAATGGAATCACTAGGGCAAGTTTATTGGAAATGTGTTTGTCCTGGAACCATGATTGCTCTAAGTGTGTTTATTGGTAACATTTCTGCTCTGGGACCTTGGAGTGACCAGGCTCCCAGGACTGAAATGTTTTCATTCGTCTTAGTGATTACACTACTTGTCAGTATAGTATCGTATAACTTTATATCCAGTATTAGTTTTTGCTGTGTGATAAAGCTTTTTTAGTATTATTTATTGTTTACTCTATAAATTTGGTGATAAGTTAAGCTTTGCATGAAAGTAATGGCTCTAGATTTATTTTTTCTGTACCAAGATTGAAGCTGTATCAGAAGTGTTAGTAGGAGGGGCACTGGCAGCTATGTCGCCCTCTCCACACACTGCCGCACCACCTATCTTTCCCGAGGGCTGTCCTCCTGACCAGATGGACGACAAAGTAAGATATATCCTACCTGATTCTTACTCTTGCATCAAGTGGTGATAAAAATATAGTTGCAGAGAGGAACTTTATTGAGAGGTTTGCTTGTGGATAAGCTTCTTCAGATCAGCTGAAGAAGTCTGTTCCAAATTTCAATAAAATTCCTCTCTGCAATTGCCATTTTCACAACTTGTTGGCTTTGTGTCCGTTGTCTCCACTTTTGCAAAACCCTTCTCATGCTGAATCCTTAAAGGTGGGCAAGGGAGATGCCTGAATGCTGGTGAGAGGTTCTTGATGCAAGGCATTAGGGCTACCCTCCTCTTTTCTCATATCAAACCTAATTTCCACCCATTTCCTATGGGTTTAGTGCTTCCTCATGATTGTAATAATCCCATGCTGAACTCTGCTTGATGCTGCTTATATTTTCTCTGTTGTCTTGTATAAGATTGCAAATCATCCTCAAACTTAATTGTTAACCATTTTTGACTTATAATTAAATTAACGAGGGTTTACCAAAGGCATCATTCATGTATTGTATTTTCTGGCATATAAGGCACATGAGCATTTAAGATGATGTTTCCAAGCATTTGTAATGTAACGTTAGTAAACAGATTCTGAAGTGTAACCCAAAGTCTACCCTTGACCCTGACCTTGAGCATATAAGGTGCAGGCAGATTTTTTCCAGGACTTTTTTTTGTGAGGGGAAAAAGCATGCCTTGTATACCAGAAAATACTGTATATGTATATTTACAGGTGGTGCTAAAAGCCAAAGTTGGTTTTATTAAGTATACTATCATTGTAACTCAAACTTTATTTTGACTTCAGAGTTCCATGATAGTGAACTAAGCTTTCATTAACCAGTACTCATCTGTTTTAATAATTGCATTAATATTAACTAATTATTGTGATCATTAATGTGATTTTGGAAAGAAGTTCAGGTAAAGTATACTTAGTGGTCACTTTATTAGGTACACTTGCTCATTAATGCAAATATCTAATTAGCCAATTACACGGCAACACCTCAGTACCTGAAAGCATGCATATGCTGTTAAGAGCTTCAGTTGTTCAAACTGAACATCAGAATGGGGAGGAAATGTGATCTAAGTTCCTTTGACCATGGAGTGAGTGTTGGTGCCAGACAGACGAGGTGGTTTGAGTACCTCAGAAACTGCTGATCTGTTGGGATTTTTATGCACAACAGTCTTTAGAAAATGGTGTGAAAAACACAAAACATCCAATGAGTTGCAATTCTGTGGGTAAAAATGTCTTGTTAATAAGAGAGGTCAGTGAAGAATGGCCAGACTGGTTCAAGCTGACAGGAAGGTGATGGTAACTGAAATAACCACACATTACAACAGTGGTATGCATCTCTAAATGACAACACATTGAACCTTGAAGTAGATGGGATACAGGAACAAAAGACTGCATTGGGCTCCACTCCTGTCGGCTAAGAACAGGAAACTGAGGCTACACTGGGCACAGTCTCACTAATATTGGACAATTAAAGATAGGAAGAACATTCCCTAGTCTGATGAATTGTGATTTCTGCTGTGACAAGCAGATTGTAGGGTCAAAATTTGGCATAAACAACGTGAATCCTCTGATTCGTCTTGCCTTGTGTTAGTGGTTCTGCGTGGTGGTGTAATGGTGTGGGGAATGTTTTCCTGGCACACACAAGTCCCCATAATACCACTTGATTATTGTTTAAGTTCCACAGCCTACCTGAGTATTGTTGCTGACCATGTGCATCTCTTTATAGCCACAGTCTACCCATCTTTTAGTTAGTGGCTACTTCCAGCAGGGTAACACATCATCTTATAAAGCACATGTCATCTCAAGCTGATTCCACAAAAATAACAATAAGTTTATGGGCTCTAATGGCCTCCAGTCACCAAATCTCAGGCCAGTAGAGCAAGCACCTTTGATGGAACAGGAGATTTGTAGTGGGATTGTGCAGCTGACAGATCTGCAGCAACTGTGTGATACTGTCATGTCAACTTGGACCAGAATCTCTAAGGATTGTTCCATCACTTCTTTTAATCCATGCCATGAAAAATTCAGGTTGTTCTGGGGGTACAGGGGACCCCAACCCATTACTAGAAGGGTGTATCTAATTAAGTGGCCATTGAGTGTATATGTACAATACAGTATATATTTCATTATTCATTCAAAATTGATGATGCTAACATCAAATGATTCCTATATTATGAAGAAATTGTAAATAACAGTTAAACAGTATTTTATTCCTCTTGCTCAGTAAATATGGCACTCAACATAGATTTAGTTTCCATGGTAAAATTCTACTCATTGTGCTATTTTCCAATATTAATTCTCAAATAATAATCATTAATTTTTTGTAATAAAAAAAAATATGGATTTATTTAAACATATTTTCATTATTTGCATAAAGGCTTAACTATCATGTACTATGTACAGTGTATTGAATGGGCCAAGTATTGAGAAATAATATACAGTACTCTGCTGTAACATGCAAAATAACCACAGGGAGAGTTGAATTATTATTATAGCATCATCATCATCATCATCAGCAGCAGCAGCAGCAGCAGCAGCAGCAGCAGCAGCAGCAGCAGCAGCAGCAGCAGCCCGCAGCAGCAGCAGCAGCACAGCAGCAGCCAGCACAGCAGCAGCAGCAAGCAGCAGCACAGCACAGCAGCAGCGCAGCAGCAGCAGCAGCAGCAGCAGCAGCACAGCACAGCACAGCAGCAGCAGCAGCACGCAGCAGCAGCAGCCAGCAGCAGCAGCAGCAGCAGCAGCCCGCAGCATCAGCAGCAGCAGCAGCAGCAGCAGCAGCAGCACAGCAGCAGCAGCAGCAGCAGCAGCCCGCAGCAGCAGCCCGCAGCAGCAGCAGCAGCAGCACAGCAGCAGCAGCAGCAGCAGCAGCAGCAGCAGCAGCAGCAGCAGCAGCAGCAGCAGCAGCAGCAGCAGCAGCAGCAGCAGCAGCAGCAGCAGCAGCAGCAGCAGCAGCAGCAGCAGCAGCAGCAGCAGCAGCAGCAGCAGCAGCAGCAGCAGCAGCAGCACAGCAGCAGCAGCAGCAGCAGCAGCAGCAGCAGCACAGCAGCAGCAGCAGCAGCAGCAGCAGCAGCAGCAGCAGCAGCAGCAGCAGCAGCAGCAGCAGCAGCAGCAGCAGCAGCAGCAAGCAGCAGCACAGCAGCAGCAGCCAGCAGCAGCAGCAGCAGCAGCAGCAGCAGCAGCAGCAGCAGCAAGCAGCAGCAGCAGCAGCCAGCAGCAGCAGCAGCAGCAGCAGCAGCAGCAGCAGCAGCAGCAGCAGCAGCAGCACAGCAGCAGCAGCAGCAGCAGCAGCAGCAGCAGCAGCAGCAGCAGCAGCAGCAGCAGCAGCACGCAGCAGCAGCAGCAGCACAGCAGCAGCAGCAGCAGCAGCAGCAGCAGCAGCAGCCAGCAGCACAGCAGCAGCAGCAGCAGCAGCAGCAGCAGCAGCAGCAGCAGCACAGCAGCCCGCAGCAGCAGCAGCAGCAGCAGCAGCAGCAGCAGCCCGCAGCAGCAGCAGCAGCAGCAGCACAGCAGCAGCAGCAGCAAGCAGCAGAGCAGCAGCAGCAGCAGCAGCAGCAGCAGCAGCAGCAGCACGCAGCAGCAGCAGCAGCAGCAGCAGCAGCAGACAGCACAGCAGCAGCCAGCAGCAGCAGCAGCAGCAGCAGCAGCAGCAGCAGCAGCAGCAGCAGCAGCAGCAGCAGCAGCAAACAGCGAGCAAGCAAGCAAGCACAGCAGCAGCAGCAGCAGCAGCAGCAGCAGCAGCAGCAGCAAGCAGCAGCAGCAGCTGCAGCAGCTGCTGCTGCTGCTGCTGCTGCTGCTTGCAATGTTAGAGAAATAGAGTAGGAAATGCAGGCAGATTCATTCAGGAAAATGAGTCAATTTCTCTGAACAAATCTGCCTAGATTTCCTACTTTATTTCTGCAACATTACAAGCTCCTGATGTGTTGATTGCAACATGAAAGGCCTACAGTTATAATTCAACTCACCCATGGTTATTTTGTATCTTTTGATATGTGTTTCATTTTTATGGGGGTGAACTATTAAGATAGTGGAATTTCTTGCTCAAATGACCTAGATCTCCAGCAAGGTCATTGTCATCTTAATTACACACATCATTTTGCTGATGTAAGGACAGTCATATGGGAGACTAACGAAGGTAGCCTAACCCTTAAACTGTCCAAACGTAGATCTACGTTCATGCGCATAGTGCTCAGAACGTAGAGCTGCGTTTTTTTTTTTTTTACATAAGAAAGAATGTAAAATCAAACGATCTATATTCACAGATATGCTTATGGGATTTAAGAGGATAATGGGGTAATGGTATGGTGATACCAACAAGATGTGGAAAGAGACACTTATGTGCAATTCAGAATACATATACAGTGGACCCTCGCTTAACGATCACCTCCCAATGCGACCAATTATGTAAGTGCGTTTGTACGTGTATGTTTGGGAGTGTGAAATGGACTAATCTACTTCACAATATTCCTTATGGGAACAAATTTGGTCAGTACTGGCACCTGAACATACTTCTGGAATGAAAAGATGTCGTAAACCGGGGGTCCACTGTATTTATTATAGGCAACATTTCACCACGAGTGTCTTCTTCAGTCCTAACACAGAGATAACTAAGAAACATATATATATATATATATATATGGTGGCAGTAGTCAGGTGGAAAGCTGTGAGGCTTACCACTTGACCCCTGCTACTATATAAATGTGTTTCTTATTTATCTCTGTATTAGGACTGATACAGCCAATCATGGCAAAACACTTCCTGTAATAAATGTCCTGAGCTGTTCATAATTGTCTTTTTTCACAATAAGAGGATGTGTTCTCATCTGACTGAGACCTACAACAAGAAGCAGTTTCTCTTTTCACATAAAGCACCACATTTTTAACTTGATAATACTGTACATTGCTAGTTTTTTTTTTTTAATCTGTCTATATTAACTGTTTACACTTCAAAATACTGATTCCTTCAATATTTTAAATTTTGAATGTCAC